CTTATTATCCGAAAAAAAATTCTCTCTTTAATATTGTAAATTAGTTTTCTAACTTCTGTCACATTCTCATTGTTCAGGTTAAATAAAGCTGTAACATTGATGCACGTCATGTTGACACTGTCAATAAAGCTGTAACATATTGACACACATGCACACACCTAATATTACAATAAAAATCACAGTCTGTGGAGAAAGAATAAGTATTTCTCCTTTCCCCTCATCTTCTCTCCAAACATTTAAATATTCCCTTTGCATGTTGCCTATGCTTTTGTCAGAGTCATGAGCTGCTTTAGCCTGGTTTGAGTTTGAGAACAAGTCCCAAACCAGGACGATAACAGAGTGACACAAAGATTGACTATGCTGTACTTGCTGGATGAAGTGAAAACCAATGAAATATAAATCCTATCTTGTGGGATTTCACTCCTGCTGGAACTAATCTCATTAACTTAAAACCACCTGAGGCTTAAGAGAGATATACACTGCCATGAGAAATTATATTTATCCCATCCATGGGTGGGGGAACCCCCTCCCCCCAGCTTATACCTTACTTTTTACTTAGCTGTTCTTGAATTGCCAGGTCATTTCTATCCCATGGGAAAGTCATCATATCTTGCAGCAGCACAATTATGTGTCTTATCTAAAGTTCACTGTTACATTCATGCTTAAATCATTGTTTAAGGAGTTTTTTTCTCTTAAAATTATTTCCTCAGGAAAATAAGAGATTGCAAAGCTACTAGCAAATTGTGGTATTATTTACAAGTACACTTTACAGCCTTTCTAAGGTTGGGATCAGCAGCCTTTAGCCTGCAAGTCAGGTCTGGCAGGGGGGATCTGGGGCACATCGCTGCACTGCAGAGGGGTCAGGAATCTGCAGTAGGAGTGAGCGGGGGCAGCTGGCTGAAAGCTGGTTGTAAGCTCTGACCCATGCTGCCAAAAGGCTGCTGACCCCTGTTCTAAGGTTACAGGTAAAAAATCCTGAAGTTGAGAGAAGGTATGAAGGAAACTTTAGAAGTTGGACATAAATTTTAGTGAGCGGCCCTTTATAGTTTGAAGTTACTGTAAATCAGACACTAAGATTTTTCTTTATAGAGCTGAATTTAAAAGGGACTGACAGGCTCAGGGAACTGGGAATTGTACAAAGAGCCTGTAAGAGCTATGCTGCTGTTTTAAAATATAGTGCTGTTTTAAAATTTAGTTTAAAATAGCGAGAACTGTGTAACATCTGATCATTGCCCTGTATAAACTCCTTCAACTTCCAAATAAAATGTGTCCATGATATGCCTGGTCAGTATAAATGTCTCCATCAACATGAACGGGATGGATAAGGCCCTGTCTTCTAGCTTTGGTAGTTTCAGCAGAAAGGTGAAATGACTGTTCTGAGGGTCTCTTCTCTAACTCCACTTATCTTTTTTTCTTTGAATCAGTGTGATGTTATACAGCCAGGTTTCCATGGCTTCATTAAATGATAAGCTGAATACCATTGATAAAATATTTATCTTTTCCGCTTGTATTTCCCTCAAAAAATGCCCCAACAATGGAGCCAACAAGTGCCATCTCCATTTATAGGAATTGTTGTCAGTGCTACATTTGGAGAAGAAATTAGCCTGCAGTAAGCATTGAAGATCAACGTTATGGAGTTCAGGTGATCAGAAAGTTGTAGAGTGCAAGATTCCTCACACACTGCTGTGTTTCAGTGTGCTCCCCCCTGTTAACAAATGGTTTGCTTGCTGCATTATCTCCACAGATGGCAAATGCAATGGCATTACACAAAGAAAGAGGCATTTTCTCTGGTAGCTGGAGGGTGGTAGGTACAGAATTTGCTGAAAAAGGAGAGACCACTCCAGCAACATGATTTTGCTGAGTTCTGTGAAATCCAGCTCAGCTCATGTAATGGTTTGTAGATTTAAATAACAAAAGAATGTCAGGGTTCAATATTTATGGTGCTCATTAACCCAAAGTCACCATTTTAACTATTAGGCCATTTAAAATATACTGTATTAATAGCTGGCCCATAGGGACAATAGTAAGTATGGCTGCAATTGTAGACCAATTAGAGTAATAAAAATGATAACTTAAGACCCAACCTCTCAGTTTCATCCTTCAGCTTTATGAGTGGAGCATAGGATAGAAGAGTGGCAGTGCAACCCACTGGTGCATTAGCAATGATTTATTAGAGGAAAACATGAATAAAACATCATTTTACATTTTCAAAGTACCTATTCCACCAGGGCTACCATAGCATATGTGTCAACTGTATTGCTTCAGGCGCTTTACGCTTGTTATGTGGGTCTAATCTGTGGTTGTATGAAAATGGGGTTTTTACTGCCCGTAAATATCATGTGATTTGCACAGCTTGCTTGCATTGCAAGCTAAATGTTTGTCATTTTAAATGATTTTGTTTGTTAAGGTGTTTTCTGGTAACTCTAACTTGCAAGCAAAAAAATAATTTTTTTGTGATGTACACCCAGTGCAGTGCTAGCCTCCTAGCTGCTAAGTGATTATCTTGGGTGCATGGAAGGGACTCTAGGCCTAACTTAAGACAAGATTCTACTAATAACTCCCTTATTCTTAGCTATAATATTGAAATAATTATTATCCTGACATTTTTTACCCTTGTCTTGCACATTGCCCTGTTAGTTACTGATAGCTTTAGGAAGGTATAAACATAGCATGTATATCAAGCATGCATTTTTAACTAATTTCTTCATAAGTATTTTCTGTGTGGTAACAAGTAAGTCAATCAAGTCAATGGCTGAGTTGATTTTTTTTTTCTCAGTGTATTCATCAAAACTAAAATTCTTTCTGTGTTTTCGGGGTAGGATTTTTAGTCAAAGCTAGAGGGGAAATGGAAGTTGAACCTATGTAAGCATAGCCTGATCATTAGGAAGGACACTTCCATGGCATGTGGGATATTCAAGTCCTTCTGAATTGTATAGAGCAGGACTTTGAACCTTAGGCTGTGTGTAGATGAAACGAGGGCATGTGCGCACGACAGTTTAAAGTGGGTTAAATGCTTTTGCACCGCTTTAATGGTGGTGGTGTTGGCATGCGTCAGCAGCGTATTGAGTAATTCCGTCCATTGTAGAAATTTCGGCGGCATAATGCACCTTAAATGACTTGGGGTGCAGCAAACTAAAACTCCGAGGAGTTTGTTTGCTGCCCTACAGCCACGGAGTGAAGCACCGGGCTCTGTGCAGCTCAGGGGCTCTGCAGGCAGCCTGGCAGCAGCCTGCCTGCCTACCTGCCTTTTCCCTGGAGCCTGCCTGCCTGCCTGAGCTGCGCGGAGGCCCGGTGCTTCCCTCCATGGCTGCAGTGCTCCCTGGAACTGCCTGGGCTGGGTGCCTGTGGGCGGGTGCTGCCTGGTGGGGGCCACCGCTGCTGTGGAGGGAAATACCAGTCTCCCCCCTCTCCCCCGCTGCAGCCCAGGGACTGCTCCACCTGCTGGCAGCTTGCCCTCACCTTCCCACCGCCGGAGAGGCAGGTAAGTGCACGAGTGTTTGCACGATACGGGGGTTTACTTCGCCCTAAATTGAAATGGTGTTTTTAAAACCCATCATTTCAATTTAGGGCCCCTGTTTCTCTACATATCCCTTAGTCTTCCACATCCCAAGGGAGTTCCTTCAGTGCCACATTACACTGAATTCAGTTTATCTCTTTCCCTGTCGGAGAGAGAGAGGGGTGTGTGTGCATGTGTGCACACACATGTACATGTTTCAAAAGATGTAATTTTGTTCTAGTGCAGAATGAATACAAATGTCAACCCTGCAGTTTTCCACTCCGCCTAGAGATACACTTTGCTGAATGAAGTAGATCAGATGTGCTGCGGTATGTCACATCACAGCTCATCTACTTCATTGGGTGAAACACAGATTACCCTTTGTCTCACCCTTGATAAGGCTGGACAGGGGGTGGTGTGATCTCCCTGCTTTCTCCTCTCAGCCAGACCCATCCTCCACAATTGCTGAGGAGTGTGGGTCTGGCCAAGCAGGGAAAACGGCTTTCCCCACTCAGCCAGGCTCACTCCTGTGATTGAAGCCAAATTTCCCTTATGGAAAGACACCCAAGATTCCCTTGGGTGACTGTAAGCAGGGAAAGCAGGCAGGTGCTCTACGGGCTTGAGGAACTCTGGGTTGGCTGGAGAGAAGGAGCAGCTCAGGCTGCTCTACTTTCCTACCACAGAGCTAATAGACATCTGCCACAATAAAGTAGCAGTCTGTTACTCGCTTTTCTTATGCCACTGATTTTCCTTTGTTGTGGCATGACAAAAGGTAGCGACGTCTGTTAACTCACCATTTGTACCATCATATTTTTTTTGTTTTATGGTGGTACAAATGAGATGTCAGACAACATCTGCTTTCACCCTAAATGAGATCCTTTTCTGGCCAGCCTGCATCAACATGCCATGATGCTACCACTATGCAAATATGCAGGAAATTACTCTCAGCTCATCAAAGCTAGTATCGAATTCTACAAATATATAATCCAGCGTGTGTGTGCGTGCATGCATTTACATGAATAATGTTTAATTTTTATGCATAGAAATTTAAACACCAAACTTATAAAATCTCTGGATATTTTTACATGGACAAATGATAGTTAAGACTAGATTATATGAGAGGGCATTCAAAGCACATATATTTTTTCTTCTTTATTTTAAAACAAATTCTCTCACACTATTTTCAAAAATCCAACCCCAAAATTATGTTTCTAAAGAGGCATTCCCATTTTTCATATACGTTTTGTTCCCAGGAGCTGCTCGTTCATTGGCAGCCATTGGTCTCGGGAGACCATAGCAGTTGCACGTTTGGTGTGTTACTGGGTACCACCACAGCTTCTTGAGTGGCTGAGGAGTCCGATGTGTGACAAGGAACTTGTCTGGCAAGTTGCACATACAAACTTGGTTGAGCTTGCACTAGCATGCCAAGTACCGTTTTGTCTTGCCTGCCTCTGATGCCTCTTTTCTAGCTCACCCTCTCCATCTCAGAGCAGTGTAGGCCTATTTTTCATATTCACTGAGTTCCCAGGAGCTGCTGCTGAGGAGCTATTGGATGCAAGGCATTTTGAAAATAGTTTTGGAACCTAAGTATAAACTTGACAGCCGTTAATTCCTAGAAACACAAGATGTGCTGTATCTTTTATTTCTTTTCTAAAGACCAGATGTTCCTGCCACTGCACAGAGTGGGAAATGTAGCTGGAATTTAAGGAGAGCAGTCTGGCTGAAGGAAGTGAAGAGATTCAAGGAGCATGCTCTGCCGAGTAGCTATAGCAGTTAATACTCATTGGTCAAGACTTTCCTTCTCTCTGACGCAATAACATTTGCTAATTTGTATTCAACAAATAGTGAAAATAATTCATTTTTTATACATTTTTTAATTAACTTGTTTCACTTATGTCCATGTCTCTTTTCAGGTTTACTTTCCAGAAACTCTGATCAAGGTTGCTGATGTAAAGGTTCATTTCGGGGATTTGTAGAAACTAAATTTGGAGTGTATCTGAACAGGTGTTACATGCTTGTGTTTCATCAGAAAACAAAAATAATCATAGGATTTTATGTGACCGAACTGCATGGCTGCCATTTCTAAAAAAAATTTGTAACCATTCAGAAAAAAAAAATTATATAATGAATAAACTGGAGAAAACTAAAGTCTGATTGTAGCTGTTCTGTTGGGAGAAAAATAATATATTCGTAGTATGAATTATTCTTTTTGTCAATTACTATTTCAACTATGGTGTGTCGCTTTTCTTCTGTCCAAGTGTATATAAGTAAAGCATATTTTGGTTATTTGGTGATGGAAAAGGCTGTTAGTTCTGAAACTAATTTAACAGATATCCAACACCATTCTTGAATGATTTATGTGTTTTCTTTGTAAGCTCTCTTTTGTAACTGTTAAAATGTAGATTTTATGAGTGACATCATTAAAATTTATACACATTTCTGTTGTTTTATGCTGTACATGCGTTTGTGGAAAAGGGTGCATAACTCGAATTTGCATAAAGAGAACCGACTTTCCAATGTAACAAATAGAGATACGTTCCAAGACCTTGACTGTACTGATCCCCAGGCCCATTTCTACCACTTTTACAAGACTATTTTGGTACTTGCCAACAGCAGACAGTACACACAAGCACAGGGTGGTGGTGCATGTTACCATAATGGGAATGGCAACTGCAGAAACATTTCACAGACACCGAGCAGGGAGCACAGATCCACATAGGAGACTATATTTTGGTGTGCGTCACTCCCACAGTGCAGCACACAAAGCAGCAGAATGTGGGCTTCCATTACACTGACTGCCTAAGAGTGAATTTACCTTGAATATAACAAATTTTTGGTATAAAAAGGATCATTGCGTAAAAGCGAATTTGCACATACAGAACCAGCATAAAGCGAGGGCAACCTGGATACCTTCTAGATTGTGATGCTAGTCAGTATTACTCCACTATGCCTCTGGTTCATCTGTCTGTACTGTAATGCAGTCTTCCCCAGGGCTAAAATCTGATCTCTCTTCTATCAGACTAAAGGCAGAGTAACTGTCATGATGTTCAGTATTATTTCAATGTGGAAACTGAGGTCAGAATCTGGCCCCTTCCCATTTTCTTTGAAGCAGAAAAGGTTGCTAGATTAACTATCTCTAGAAATTAAATATGAAATGTCTTTTGAATTTTGAGAATGGGTATTAGCCACAGGAAACTTCCATGAAATGTACCAAATTTCTTTGAAATTTTTATTTATTCTTTTTTGGCAAGAGGAGTCCAATCCTGAAATGCTTTCACCTATTGATTTTAATTTCAGCAGGAGTCGTACAAGCTCAAAAATCATAACATTTACTGGTTACACTGTACATAACGTTCAGCATGACATTTAAAGTAAAAATACTTGACAAGAGATGATCATAAATGTGAAGGCTAATTTTTTGAGGCTGGGAATGGATATTACATTTATGCTAAGAGAAATTCTTTTCCTTAAGCACGAAAAGAGTACAGAGCTGTTCCATGGATTTCTTGTGAATGAAAACTCTCTCTTCCACAAGAAATTTGATCAGATACCTACCAGGTGGATCTTTTTCCTGATGTAACTTGAGTGGCTGTATACTTCTCTCAGATGTGGAGAACACACAGTATCTCGATCTTCTGCTTTCCCTCCCTTGAAGGGAAAGGAAGGGAGGGAGAGCACTGGTTTCCTGATATCCTGCAAATATCACATTATGTACAGTGCAGATGTGCAAGTGTCATACAATAACTAGTTGTGTATCTTTAAGCAGGCCTAGCACTTGAATTAAAACCTGTGCTTTATTGGGCATGAGATTCCTAGTATTATGAACACTTTTTAAAGAATCTATGCCGGTTTTATACATCATAAATAGGCTTGGCAGAATTCATTTTTTTTAATATCATTGCAACAGATAATATCAATGTCTATTTTAAAGCATTTATTTTGATTTGTATCAATTTTTAATTAAATTAAGAACAAAGATTTCTGCCCCCAGGATGGCAAAAAACCCACCAAACAAAAAGCCCAACAAAATAGCCAAGAAAACACCAAAATGTGTATCTTTTCTAATTGGAGTCTTTCTCTCCACATACCTGTCTCACTAGTAGGCCGTTCACTTCTTTTTACAGTCTTTCCTTTTTTCTAGCTGAGTTGTCCTACTCAGGCATCAGGAACTCCCTGCCACTGCTTCCCATCCAGCTCCAATACTCCTTCCCCCCCCCCCCAT